ATAATAATAATAATAATAATAATAATAATAATAATAATAAATAAATAAATAAATAAAAACACCTTGCCATTATCAGCACCACGCTCTAACCTACTGAGCTATCCAGGCTAGCCAGTATTTTTAAAACAGGTTTTTTTTTTTTCAAATCTGACCTACTCCTGCTTCTTCTTCTTCTTCTTTTTTTTTTAACCTGTTTGGTCTTCTAATGCTGCCGTCAAAAGTCGTATTTAATCTTCAAAGCTATGATGGTGAGATTTTATATGCCATCCATTTGCCAGGTTTTTGAACTGCTACTCGTTTCTTATTTTATCCATTTCTATGGCTGTTTGCATTTTGTGTATCGGAAGCCACCTTGTGAGGGTATTTGCCCTGAAAGGTACCCTAAGGATGCTTTAATTAATGAAAAATGATAACATCTTTGATAATTAAATAATTTCAACAAATATTATTTAATTAATAAAATAAATTAATACTGATGCTTCCAGTGACCTCATTGTAGTAACTTCAGTTCTTCCTTATATCTGTGTGACATTTCCTTCTCCCTCTCTTTTTGAAATTAATAATAATAATATGTTTATTAATCATTGGCAAAATCAAATCAAAACCTAAGGTTGTATGGAACCCTTCCCAGGAAAGTTCGCTAGTCTTCAGTTGTAACTCCTCAGATCTTTTACCTGAAGAAGAAGCTGGAAATAAATCACTTTAGGTGACATTTTGGGGGGCAAGTGTAATTTTCTCCTAAATGTACCCTTCTAGGCAGTATTTTTAGCACGGCATTCAAGAGATTGTCAGGTGATACCTGATATTAGAGTGAATGACGCTTCCTATTGTAAGGGAAACTCACTACTTCTTATCGCATGATCAATATCAAGTCACTGACATCAAAGGGAAACAAGAGGGCATATCCACTTTTGATTCCCCCTTTCTCTGCCAATTCTATAGTCTGGCTTCGTAGCACCTTCTTCCACATCCACATCTGTTTTTGAAGACACTATGCAACTATACAATATTCATCTAATAAATATGTATGTGGGGGTTTATTGCTTAATAATTGTAAGGTTAATAGTCACGGTGAATACCTATATTTAATACGTCAATGAGGCTGCAAAAATGCCAAGGTGACTAGCTTTAGCACGTATCCATTCTGCTTGTGGGTCTACAAATATGAGCCCTGTCATAAGTGCTTTCAAACTGAGATCAGTATTGATTCAGGTCCATGGGAAAAGCAGAGGGCTGTGACAGCTTAAAATGACGCACGCTGAGAGAATTATTTGCCGGAATTTGATGAAAAGTGGTAAATTTACATGTGGCATGACCTGACGTACTAATCCTTAATACTCAGGGCAAGTATAACATCAGGCGATTAGCCAGAGGTGTGCTTTTTTAAATACAGTTTTGTACTTGATGTTGAAAAATCCGAATCTCCCTTTATGAAATCCACACCATTTGTTATGAGGACAGTACCTCCCATGCTTCTGGTTGCTGAGGTGACACGCACTATTTTTCTGAACTAAAATAGGAGCCACATTTGAATCTTATCTTCTCATAGAATTAGTCTGGATTCAAGACCAGTGTGTGTGTGTGTGTGCACAGATGGTCTGGGAAAAGTCTGCTGGCGACAAGCAGACATAGCCAGGGGTGGATCTACACGCATGTTTTTAACGTTAAGAAAGGGTCAAAGAAGGGCTGTGGTAACGTGGAGGGATAAATGGCGCATTGTTTTTAACGTTCTTAATGTGTTATTAAAACGTCACACCAGAGGGCTCTGCAGAGCAACCAGCAGCATTTTGACGGAAATAAACCAACAACAAAGTAAGAAAAACGATTTAAATTACATGTATGCCCTGTGACATTCTAGAACAATATATCTAATATTGTTCTAATAACGTTAAACAGGTCAGTGGTGTAGATCCAGCCTAGAGCAGTATACATGCAGGGGTGCAGTGATTTTGGGGGGGAGGGGGACGCAGGAATACGCATACCCCTAAACATTTTGTAAATCTAATGGGAGAAGAAACTATTTTTTTAAAAAATGTTAGTTTCTTCTCTAGCACGGTGAATCATTAGTTCCATTGCTACCCCTGATGGCGGCCTCATTTGCTTTCCCGGTGTAATGCATGTTCTTTGTACTTTTGTCCATTTACTGTATTTATTTTTCCCGATTTGAACTATGAAATGGTAATTTTCTTTTTTTTTAAGATATTTATTGAAATTTTCAAATTTAACACATTAAAAAAGAATCAAAAAAGAAAAAACAAAAAAGTTTAAAAACACATAAAGTTCACAATCCTTATTTTTCAATAACATATTTCCCTGACTTCCCCACACCTCCCCTTCTTATATTCCAATTTAAATTGTTAGTTCAGCAAGTCCTTATCCCTAATTTTTAACCTATTTCTATTTAGTTTATTTTAAAAAACCAATTTTGCCTTATCCAGACTTAAACATCAATACTTATACATCAGTACTCATTCTTAAAACATTTTTCTAAAGTCGACCCAAATTCCCTTCCACGAATTCCCCAATTTTCATACAAATAACAAAACAAAATAAAAACAAAACAGATTGTAATTATATACCCTTTGGATTACCAAACTCCACCCCCCCCTTTCCCGGTTTCAGTCCCCAACAAATGTCCATCAGTCTTAGTCTACTATCAGCCTGGAGATCTCACGTCCGAGGCTCTTAATTCTCTCTCAATTCCTCTCTGCCGGTTTTTTTTTATAGTCCTTAATATTGAACACCAGATCTCGGAGAAGCTCTGGCCCAGCGGGATCCATGTTTCTTCCAGCCAGACCTCCATACTTAAAAGTGGAGCCCGAATCTTGTTTCTTACTCCTTTCAAGTCCAAATGTCCCCAAAGCTCCAACTTCCACCTTGAAATGGTGATTTTCTTGGGTCAAAAGGAGAGTAGAGTGGTACCTCGGGTTACAAACACTTTGGGTTACAGACTTTGCTAACCCAGAAGTAGTACCTCGGGTTAAGAACTTTACCTCAGGATGAGAACAAAAATTACAGCGGCGCAGCGGCAGCAGGAGGCCCCATTAGCTAAAGTTTTACCTCAGGTTAAGAACGGTTTCAGCTTAAGAATGGATGAATTAAGTTCTTAACCCGAGGTACCACTGTACCCCTAAACATTTTTTAGGGGGGGAAGCATTGCAGGGTTGTATGGGGTGTTAGGGGGAGGGGGAGTACCTTTGGTGGGGGACACATCATGCTCTTTCTGGGGCAGTTTGTCCACCTTTGGTCCCCACCCTGCACTCAGCTCTCACCTGCGGCCCCAAGGTAAGCTGTCAGCATGCGACAGCAGCCACACCCTGGGAACAGCTACGACTGGCTGGGTTCACATATTAGGAAAAGATCTGGGATCAGAGGTGTGGGCTGTATGTTACTTCATAGGTGTAACGGCAGAGTGTGAGAGTGAGGGACAAAAGATATGTGTGTGTGCATCTCTGGAAAGAAGATAAAAGTTCCTACCAGAGAAGAATGGCAGATGAAGTTGATGAACTATGCTGAAATGGCTAAAATGACCAGAAGAATCAGCTATCAGGAGAACCAAAATTTTAATAAGGAATGGGAAGGAATTATAACTTATCTTAAAGATCATTGTAAACAGCTGAAATCATTAGTAGGATTGGAATATCACTTGTAGTTTAAGGGTGAATTCTAGACACAATGGAGATGTAAAAGATTTGCATCATCATAAATGAGAGTGCCTGATCACCTCATCTCTCTCCTGAGAAATTTTTATGTGGGACAAGAAACCACAGTTAGAACTGGATATGGAATAACTGATTGGTTCAAAATTGGGAAAGGAGTACAACAAGGCTGTATATTGTCTCCCTGCTTATTTAACTTATATACAGAATTCATCATGTGAAAGGCTGGACTGGATGAATCCCAAGCCAGAGTTAAGATTGCCTGAAGAAATATCAACATGCTGATGACACAACCTTGATGGCAGAAAGTGAGGAGGAATTAAAGAACCTTTTAATGAGGGTGAAAGAGGAGAGCGCAAAATATGGTCTGAAGCTCAACATCAAAAAAACTAAGATCATGGCCACTGGTCTCATCACCTCCTGGCAAATAGAAAGGGAAGAAATGGAGGCAGTGAGAGATTTTACTTTCTTGGGCTGCATGATCACTGCAGATGGTGACAGCAGTCACAAAATTAAAAGACGCCGGCTTCTTGGGAGAAAAGCAATGACAAACCTAGACAGCATCTTAAAAAGCAGAGACATCACCTTGCCAACAAAGGCCTGTATAGTTAAAGCTATGGTTTTCCCAAGTAGTGATGCATGGAAGTGAGAGCTGGACCATAAAGAAGGCTGATCGCTGAAGAATTGATGTTTTTGAATTATGGTGCTGGAGGAGACTCTTGAGAGTCCCATGGACTGCAAGAAGATCAAACCTATCCATTCTTAAAGAAATCAGCCCTGAGTGCTTACTGGAAGGACAGATCCTGAAGCTGAGGCTCCAATACTTTGGCCACCTCATGAGAAGAGAAGACTCCCTGGGAAAGACCCTGATGTTGGGAAAGATGGAGGTCACAAGGAGAAGGGGATGACAGAGGGCGAGATGGTTGGGCAGTGTTCTTGAAGCTACCAACATGAGTTTGACCAAACTGCGGGAGGCAGTGGAAGACAGGAGTGCCTGGTGTGCTCTGGTCCATAGGGTCATGAAGAGTCGGACATGACTAAACTAAACAACAACAAAAGATGTAGGACGAAATGATCAATAATAGGACCCACAAAGGGGAGGATGGAAGTCCAGGAGATTCCTTGGAATCTTGTTTTGATGATTTATGATTGATATATCATTGTAAAATTTTAATATGAAAGACCAAATAAATAAAGTGTGTGTGTGTGTGTGTGTGTGTGTGTGTAACCTATATGACATTAGTCATTCCTTTATGCATCATTCCTTTATGCTCTATTTTCATCCAGTCCATCCTTTCGGACAGCATTATTTTAATCTCAAGTAGAAGAGCACAAACTCACCTCTGATTCACATCTCCAGAGCAGTAGAGCTTTTGTCAGCGAGTCGTACAGTCAGATCCTGCATTTGTTGTCAGATACATATGTTGCCCTCAGAACCAGATGGTGGGCGTGCATATGGCTGTAGCTGTAATGACAAGAAGGGCCTCAAGCCTGCTGCTTTTAAACCTGCCTTGGCAGCAAGAATAGACGCAGCCACGGTCCCACTGCTGCGACAGGCCAATCAGGAGCATTGGGGGCCGTGGTTTGTGCAATCAGTCAATGATGCCTGCAAATTGCTTTTGTATATAGGAAGCCATTTGGATGAAAGATCTCTAGGAATGTGAGGTTCTCGCCATTGCTGGTGTTGCCAAAGAAAAGCCAAAGGCATCTCTTGCTCCTCTTCCAGAAGAGGGGGAAAGGGAGGGAACACAAGCACTTGAGAGAAGTTCCCAAATTGCCTCCCACTTGTAAACTTCCAGATACACTGCCATGGCAAAGTGTGTGGGGCTCGGGAAACCTTGGCAATCACAAGGCATATTTCCCATCTGTTTGCAGCAATATGCCCCAAAACGCCAGGTTTCTAAGTGTACGATTTAGCTAGGCTGCAGTGCTTACTGTTCAGGAACTGGATTCGTTTTCCTCCTACTTAATGCTGATTTGTAACCTCTCTGCTTTTCTTTCCTTCTTTCCTTCATTCTCTGGTGCTTGCTTGCTTTTAGGAGCAAACAACCCAAACAACAACATGACCAAAGATCTCTCGCTCCCTTGTTTTCTTTTGCTGCCCCTAGTGCAGAGCTTTTCAACGTTTCTGAGTCCACGACTCCCTTGACCAAACTACATTCTTTCTGTAGCACCCCTGTGGGGCTCAGGAGCCCAGTTGTGTCACACCCCTTGCCTGCAGAGTTGGCAGCTTCTCACCCTTTTTCAAACACCTTGCCTTGGGGAGTGTTCCCTCAGCCTCCTCTCACCTCCCCTCTCCTTGGGGGTCCTCTGGGCAGCCTCTGCTGCTGGCCCTGGTCTCTGAGGTTGCCCCTCACACTGCCCCACAGGAGCCTGGGAAGCACCCCCTGGCCAGCCCCAGACAGTGGCCTAGGGGAGCTTGTAGTCCGGACTGCTGCAACAACAGCTGTGCAAGCCTTTGGGAGGCAGAGACGTGAGAGAGCATCAGAGGAGGGAGGGAAGGAAAGAAGGACAGAGGCCACTGTTGCCTGCGGCACCCCTGACCATCATTCAAGGCACCCCAGGGTGCCACGGCACACTGATTGAAAACTTCTGCCCTAGTGCTTCAGAGGTGGAGAACCTGAGCCCCTTCAGATGTTGTTGGACTACAACTCCTATCATCCCTTGCTGACTGGGGCTGATGGGAGTTGTATTCCAACAAGATCTAAAGGGGCACAGGTTCCCCATTCCTAATCAATATGGTGCCACTTCCCTCTGTTCCTTCAAATCTCTCCGCATAACCCACTTGCTCCATAAATCCTTTCCATCAAAGCTCACCATAAACCCACGTAGTTCATAACACTGTGCGAAGCTGTGCTGACTATTAATTCAACTCCGACTTTGGAAATAAAGCACACTCTGGAAATAAAGCGAAGGGGGTTGGATTTGTACATGACCCCTTCCCCTGTCCAATGGTTCCTTGGCCTTTGCAAGAAGAAATTGTTTCAGTGAACAAATGTGTAACTGTCAGGTGGCTGTGGCTAGTTTCAATCACCCACAGTGCTTTGACAGAAGGAAATGAGGCCTTAATAAATGGGTCAACTAAAAATCCAAAGCATAGAGTTTGGCTGCACCACATATTTTCTAATTTCAGTATTTATTTGTGGTACAACTTGTGGTAACCAAGGGAAAGTGGTCCCAAATGTGTGCTAAACTGCAGTGATATGGGAGACTACACTTCACTTTGCAGCACTCTGTAGCTATTGCTACTTGGCCTGTTTGTGAAGCCCTATCTCCTCCAACATTGCTACAATGGTTTGTCACTATTTTAGTTCTTCTTGTTGTTTAAGGATGCAGATGATTCATATTTTATCCATCATACTGATAATGGTTTTGTTTCTAAAACAAGTTACTCTTTGGTGGGAGTTGCTCTCTTCAGGGGAAACATCTAGATTTTTAAAAAACAGATTTTTATTGCTTTTAAGCCCATGTGTCCCACCTCAGACCCTAAAAATCAAGTTTTATATATATCACATACACACAACTAAGCAGCTCCATCATGCAACTCAGCCTAAAATCATAGCAATAGTCATATGTTTCTCACTTATCCCCCCCCCATAATAAAATCCTCTAGAGTCTAGACCTATACAGTTGCCTTCCCACTCACTAAATTACACTTGCACAAGATGGGAGAGTGCTGTTGTTGCGTGTCCTGCCCTCTCCGTTGCATCTTAGCAGCTTGCTATGCATTTGAGCTAAACGCCTGCACTAGGGAGCCTCCGCAACTCCTGTTTTAGAACCCTGAACCAATCAGGGTCCTAGATCATGGTCAGCAGGAGTAGTCTCTGTTCTCCTGTTCTAGACCATCAGGTTGACTATGACGAAAGGTGTCCAGACCACTGAGAAGTGACCAAAGGCGGAGCCAAAGAATTATGACCCTGCCCTCTTCCCCTCATGCAGGGGAATGACTGAATATGGCTAGTGGAGAAATCTGATCATTATGCTATTGAACTTACTACCTCTTGTTATTGTGGGCTTTAGCAAGGCTCCATCATTAATGTGGGCATCCCGGGGCATCTGATTGGCCACTGTGAGAACAGGATGCTGGACTTTTGGCCTGACTCCACAACTTTGTTCTTAACAAAGTAAAACCCTTGCTGCTTGGTAAGTTGGTCGTTTGTAATGGGCCATTGAAAGTAGCACATTTGACACAGCCGAAACATCATCCAACCCCACCTGGCTGAATGTTTGCTTCGTTTTGATATTATACAGTGTCCTTTTGCTCCTTTGGCTATTGCTTCTTCCTGGCGCCATTTTCTTCTTTCTCCAATGCCCTCACGGCCTGCGCTATCATTTGAGCCAATTGGCAGCAGGGACTAATGTGATTTCATTGATATGTTACACATTACATCATCCGTCCATTCTTGAAGGTCACGACAGCCAGTGGGGTCAATGACAATGTGAGAAAATGAGACCAAGGGCTGCAATGAGGCAGGGAAACAAAAACTAAGGGGAATGGCACTGAAACAACTCAAATATGTTTACAGCAAGGGTTGCCAAGCCCCATAAAAAAGAGGCACTCACAAAAATGAAAATAAGTTTTCCTTGCCTCTCTCTTTCCTCCCCTTATTCTGCCTGCCCACACTCCCAGTCAAAATTTAGATTGCAAGCTCCTTAGAGCAGAGGCCTATAGTTTTGCTTGTGTAATTCTTTAAAACTTTGTAAATTATTGTGGTGTGCAATTATCTGTTTTGTACCCCCACCTTTTATTAACAAGTCCCAGTTCCTGGAATAAGGATCACAAATGGTCTCTCTGTCCAGGTCCAAAAGACACGAGAATTCCTTTCTTTCAGGAAGTGAAACACACATTTCTCCATAGTGCATTAAATTTCCGGTTATTGCTAAGTGTTCACCCACACTCTGGCTTGCCTTTCTGCAAGGCTTCAATTATTCTCCCTGATTCAGCCTCAGAGTGTACACTCTTGACTGTCACATGGATTGGCATCAAATTTGCAAGAATTCTTACATGTCCCCAGCTTAGCCAGGCTGTTTCTATGGTTATGACAGGCAGAATATTGCTTTTACTTAATTACGTTTTCTCCTTTTTTTCTTCTTGGAAAGATGCTTTTTGTAATGCAGCCCCAGAATTAAGACTTCCGCTGCTATGGATGTTTCACCAGTCCTCAGGTTTGCGCACCCTTTCTGCATTAAACTGGGGCCTATACGCAAAACTGCCAGCCTCTGTCCACCCAACCACCAGGATCTATTGACAACTCTGAGCTGCACACTGGAAGCAAGCCGCAGCAAACCCGAATGTATGCTCAGCTTTGACAGGGTGTGATGCTGGTCTTTCAGGACTGGGAAATTCTGAGCCACGACACAGACAGAGGAGGCAAATTTTCTGTAAGCTGTCCATTGTTCTCACAGCAGAGCCGACAAGGAGAGCAAGATCCACACAGAGACTTCATTGGCTCAACTTTGTATGCTATAGCAGCCCTCTGTTGGGAAGCTTTTAATGTCTGGTGTATCGTATGTTCTTTATATTCTGTTGGAAGCTGGCCAGAGTGGCTGAGGCAACTCAGTCAGATGGGCGGGGTACAAGTATTATTATTATTATTATTATTATTATTATTATTATTATCACACCAAGGGCAGGGATTCTGACATCCCATATGGTGACAGAGATAACATTTCCCTCCAACAAGCAGGCTAGAGTTAAAGGAGAGAAAGACTGACTTAGGGCAACCATGATACTGTCAGCCCACTGTCAGTCTGTGGGTACGGCTGGGAAGGCCCATCAGTCCATATCCCCAAACTCATTATGTCACTGGCACCAGTATTGGGGGCTCGGGCATGCACAAAAAAATTATTATGGGTGCTCAGCATCAGCACCTGTCAGGCTCAAGAGATTCTCTCCTCCCCCGGCAGCCTCCAGGATCAAAGAAGAAACAAGAAAGTTCGCATTTGTGGTTTTATTCAGCAATTGTGGAGCAAGACAAGAAATCTAGTCCTGGACGCCATCATGACGTTGCTCACTCTGAGCCCCTCCTTTTCCTTCCCCAACAACACCCTGTGTCCCTACGGAAAGTCTCAGGAGGCAAACGTCGCTGTGTTCTTTGCTCTTGAATCCTAATTGTCCTTGGAGAAGGGGGAGTTCCCAGGCTCTCTAAAGATGTGTCTGCTATCTGTTCTCCAACTCCCTCTCCTTCTTCTCCCAATACTTCATAGCTTGGTAGTTCAGTGTCCTGTCATAATTCAACCCTGTCTCTGTCTCTTCTTCCCACTACTGGAGAATGGGGGGGGGTGATTACCCCACCTGTGCCGCTGGTCACTCATAATCTGGGGCCCAAGTCGGCACCCTGCATTATGTGTGTGCCCAGTGGGGAAATAGGGAACCCACACTTCCTTGCCCCAGACTATGAATCCTACCTGCTTAGCTTGCTTCATTCCACACCCAGTCTAAAGAAAGCTTGAAACTCTTAGGATTTTAACTGATGAGCACA